AAACCAAAATGAGTTTGCCACCCCTGCTTTAAACCCTCAAAAAAATATAAAACAATAACAGTAAAATCTATCCTACTTAGTGAACACAGCTATACTACATGATGGCTTATAACAAATATTGAAATAATACAGGGGATGAATCCCAATGACTGACATATGGGTGTTTTACTCACAGCAAAATCATCAAAGTTGTTGGGCCAGTATCCCAGCTGTTCATAAGTGCCACACACCGTGCTGAAGTTAGATGTGGTGTTGTCCATGGAGAACACACTGGAACACACACACACAGTATCAGAAATGTGCCAGTGAACCAGTGTTAATTTAGTCAACAATGATGATAACCAAATGATTTTGTTGACGGCTTTTTTTTCATGATGATGACAAATATTACATTGCTCTCTGATGACTAAGACATGACAATATATCTGTAGGTTTTCGTTGATAAGATGAAAACTAGACAAAAATGTTAGTGGGTGGTCTTCTTCTTTTTCTTGGTGATTTTTATTGGCGGTCGGCAAAAAACGTTTAGTAGCATTACCACCAGTAGAAGGGGGTCTGTCAGACATTCAAAATGTGGATGGCACATTTTTGCCTATTGTGCTTATCATCTGTCAGCAGGGGCGCGGTAAGGGGGTGAAAAGTGATGACAATTCTAGGGGCCCTGACCAGCAGGGGGCCCTCCGCAATTTAATTATTTGTATTTTGTTCATAGAAATAAAATATATATAAAAAAAAAAACGGGGTCCTGCAAATAAAAAATTAATCATATTGTATTTTCAAAGATCGTTTTTAGCAGTAAAAATTTAATGTTGCCCCTCCCAGACTAAAAAACACACATCCGTTTTTGCCCTGAACCCCCCTGAATCTGCATGAAATGGTTCGTTCCTGCTTGGAGCGCTTAACTGTGACGTATGGAGCTACAGTCAGTAGAAGCTGCAGCTGAATACAGCGGCGACTGTGGCAGTTACTATGCTGCTAAGAAAAGTTATAAAATCAGGTTTTTCAA